TCCAATATCTTAGGGGCTGCCACAAAGAAGAGGGAGTCAAGCTATTTTCCAAAGTGCCTGAAGGCAGGACAAGATGCAAAGGATGGAAACTAATCAAGGAGAGAAGCAACCTAGAACTAAGGAGAAACTTCCTAACAATTAGAACAATTAACCAGTGGAACATCCTGCCTCCAGAAGCAGTGAATGCTCTGACACTGGAGGTTTTTAAGAAGAGACTGGACAGCCATTTGTCCAAAATGGTATAGGGTTACCTGCCTGAGCAGGGTGTTGGACTTGATGACCTCCAAAGTCCCTTCCAACTTTATTATTATTATTAATTATTATTATTATTATTATTATTATTATTATTATTATTATTATTATTATTAACAAGGAAAAGCAAGATGCCAAGAAAGGAACTGCATAAGACCTTTTCCCTTCAAAAGTCAATGAACACTCAAAATAGGATGAATTCCTCACAGGAAAAAATGGGTCACAAGGAAACATGAAATATTTTCAATGTCTATATATGATTTCAGCTGGACCAGAATATCACAGAATACAGAACAACAGCGTTGGAAGGGACCTTGGAGGTCTTTTAGTCCAACCCCCTACTCAAGAGACCCTATACCATTCCAGAGAAATGACTGTCCAATCTCTTCTTAAAAATCTCCAGTGATGGAGTACCCAGAACCTCTGTAGGCAAGTTGTTCCACTGATTGTTCTCTTAGATAAGATAACTTTTATTGTCATTTTTATACTGTGGGCACAACGGCACACATCAAAAATGAAATTTAGTTGCCCGCTCTCAAAGTGAAATATATACATGACACACACCTAAACATACTATGAACAACATATGTATAGACCCACATCCCTACATATACGTAGCAAATAAATATTAAATATTGTCCATCTTGAATATATAATGGAAGAGGAAGCTTGAGAGTTTGCAAGGTTAATGCTATATGGAATGAAACTCTGGTTGAATCTGAATCTCCACCCAGAAGGTAACAAGGAAAACAGGTCATGAAGAGGATGTGTAGTGTCCCAGATAATCTTACGGACCCTGCTCAAGCAGCGCTTCTGTGCTTTGTCCTGGATGGAAGGGAGGGAACTGCCAATGATCTTTTCGGCCATTCTCACCACTCTCTGTCTGAAGCAGTGATGCCTCCAAACCAGACTGTGATGCTGTATGACAGGATGCTCTCAATTGTCCCCCTGTAGAAAGTGGTCAGGACAGGGGAAGGAAGATGTGCTTTTCTCATGCGGCGCAGAAAATGCAGGCACTGCTGTGCCCGCTTCACCAGTTTCTCACTGTTGAGTGACCAAGTCAGCCTACTGGTTAGCTGCACACCCAGGAATTTGATGCTGGTAACCATCTCCACAGATGAATCATTTATGCACAGAGAAGTGTGGCTGTGCTGCGAAAAGGCGTTCAGGTAAGACAACGCCCATCTCTTTGATTTTTCCGGTATTTAAAACTAGGCTGTTTTCCTTACACCAGTTCACCAACCCTTCAACCTCCTTGCAGTAAGCTTCCACCTTGTCATCCTGAATAAGGCCCACTACTGTTGTATCATCTGCAAACTTCACAATATGGTTGGTGGCAAACCTAGCACAACAGTCATGGGTCAACAGGGTGAACAGCAGCGGACTTAAGACACAGCCCTGAGGAGAACCTGTGCTCAAGAAAATGGTGTTAGAGGTATTTGTTCCAACTCACACATATTGTCAGGAAATTTCTCTTTAGTTGTAGATTGGATCGCTCTTTGATAATTTCTCCCTTACTTCCAGGTGCTGCACAATTTATTGTTTGTTTCTGATAGTTTAATACACTTCATATAGTGTAGGAAAAAGGTTCTCAGGAAAGGAATCTTTGTAATGACTGCAGTCTATCAGCTTCTGTTTATAGTAATTATGTCAGTTCTGTTCTATGATAGTATTCTATCATAGTATTCTATGACATTATTCTTCCTTACACAAAGCATGGAAATAAAATTCCCAAAAGACATCAACCCGATGATTTGTTATTTTATTTGATTTTAATTTGACTTACAGTACACCCAACTTTTCTACTGCTTCATATAGTTGCAAATTGGGAATTGTAGCGGTTGAATTCCACAGTCTGCAGTATACTAAGATAGGAAAGAGTGAGCCCAATAGTCTTTAGGATATTTATAGTTTCACACTTAAATCTCAGTTTTTCCCCCAAGAATTTATGTACCTATAAGACAACGTACAGGGCATTACAAAGCAATATTCTCAAGGAACATTCTTCAAAACAGTAATAATTCTTTCTCACACCTATCTATGTTGCCAGTAAATATTATTTCACTGCCCTTCATTAAATAGTGTTAGGGAGAGTACAGTATTATACTTCATCTATCAAGGACACATACTAAAAATCATCAGAAAAAATCCATGAGTTGAAATGGAAAGTTAATGAAAGCACTAGAATTATTACTATGTAGCAAAATTGAATGAACTATTTCCTGATTCTATCAATATCATTCAGGTGGTAGACTTGGTTTGCCAAACATAAACCCTCACACTCTGAAAGGGACCCCCAAAGGGGGTCTGCAGTTCCTTCTTACTGTTCTTACCTTTTCTTTACCTGACTTCATCCAACAAGCCAAAAAGAAGAAATGTCCACACTCCTTGTGTTCAACTTTGGAAAACAAGGTCACGTAAACCAGAGCTATCCTTAACCCTGGTTTCTTTACTGTTAACAAACTACAATGTTCAAAATACTACAGAGAATTTTGAAATAAATAACCAAATTAAGTATCTCCAGAAAACCCCAGAGGAATTATATCCAGTCTTGTTGCATGTTCAAAATCCATTCTGCTGGGATAAATATTCATCTATATGTTAAGTGCAGTGATGGTCATTGATCTCAGTAGATATAGCAATATTTTAAAGGAAGACCATATTTTGAAAGGCAACTGGAACAGAAAGTGTTGAATTAGAAGGTTCTCAAGTACTTTCCTGCAACTGTATCTTTTAAACCTACTATATGTTTTCACTTATTTTACCTCAGCTTCAACATCTGCATGCTGCTTAATCTTTCTAGATCCTCAGGTTATGTTTCAATGCTTGACTTCCACAGACTCATAGATCAACACCTTTAGACCAAATGTTTCTTACTGGGATTGTGAAGCACACAGTAATTTTTCTCATTCCCATCCCACTAATACCTGGTATTAGCATATTCCCTTTTTTTACCCTACATAAAAACTTATCCTGCTAATAGAGCCATCCATCTTTTTTCTAACTGTCTCTCCTACTCTGACAACAAAATCTATAAATTAATTATGTATGATAACTGTGTCCAATAGTGTTAAAGATGGTACAAGAATATTTACCTTCTTTAATGGAGTAATCCTATTTATACAAATAAACCATTGAATTAAATGGAATTTACCTCCAAGTACATATAGCATTTCAATTTAAATCATGTAGTACAAACTCTTAAATAATGTCATTTTAAATATAATTTATGAAATTAACCCAAAAATTAAAAGAAAAAAATTCAAAATTAAATTACCAAGTTTTACTGAAATTAAATCATTAGCCAACCATTTTCAATTATTGAAAGTTAGAATTTGAAATTTTCCTGCACTGATGCTTACCACTCTTCTAAAAAAATTTTTAGGGTCATTAAAATTATCCCCAGCTGAGTGGAAAACCATTGCTAGAATGTCTGCAGAAAATGCAGCCAAGCTGCTATGATGCCTCAGAGCCAAAATCAGGAGCCCAGAATCTTTTTTTCTCAACAAAGTTGTTTGCAGATTTGCTCTCCGTAGTATCATCTTCCACTCCTAGCAGATCCTCGTCCCTACTGTAAATCACACAGCCAAAAAGTCAAGTTTATTTTTACTACTAGAAATTTTAATGCACATATTAAATAAATATTTCCAACAATTTCATATTTCAATTTGTATACAGTAAACTTTTTTTAAGCCCTTAAGGAGCAAGAAAGATGTGCTGTTATAGCAAGGTTGTTCACAGTTTTCATGCTCTTTTTTAACATAGTTTTTTTCTTATTGGTGTTATTTTAAATGACCCTTTGAAAATACACTTTTCAAATCAAATATGTGACACAGAATCTCATTCCTCAGAATTATTGAAACTTTCTGAAATCCCTGTTTGGGCAGAACACATTGTTCCAGACCACTGCAGATTTGAGCACAAGATCTGTTTTGTCCAGATAAAGAACTAAACCAGGGCACAGAAAGGAAATAGACAACATAAGCATCTCACATAGTAATCAATTTGAAGTCTAATCAAGATAGAATGGTAATTAATGTTCCCTGGTAAATTCTGAATGAAACAGTCATGAGGATGGTGGAAAAATCTAATATTGTTGCAAAGCTTGCTTGGTCAGGAAAGGTTTGTGAGAAATTAAGCCCTTTGGATCTGGTATATCTCACATGCATGATCTCCCTCCCCTTGGGTTTTAATCAAATTAATGTATAAGGGAAGTTAAAAAAAACTTATAAACTTACATCATTGCCTTAAAAATCCATCTTTAAATCAGAGCAATGTATGAAAACATAAACATAACTCTAATAGTTTATAACCCTAATAGCTACGTTTGTTCAGTGACAACTAGAAAAGATTATCAAAACAGCAAAATGTTTCTAGATAGTTTTCCAGCTGATATAAATATGTCACTTGAATCTCATGTGAAGCACACAAACACAAATATCTACATATCAGTAGCTACGGGTAATCAGAACAACTGACATGCGCTAACAATATGGCAACGAAAAATAATCACAAATCAGTTCAGTTGCTGGTTTTCCTCAAAGTATTTTTTGGGAAGTTGGCTTACAAATAAAATTGCAAATTATAGAGTGACAAAATTGCAAGACTAAGAAAAAACCCTCAAGGACTGACTTTGGGTCGGGGGTTTCAAGTTGCCAATCATCTGGAAAGAAGGCTTCTTTTCTCCTTAGGGTTACCTAGGAACTGAAAATACCCTGATGGCCCTAGAGTTAATTTTATTCAATCTTATGGAATATCCTTAGAAATGGTGGTGTAATAGGTGAAATATCATTTTTAACTTATCGCCACTTTATTGACAGGACAATAAATCCAGACCTTTGGAAAAATGATTAGCATTGAAAGAACAAAGCAAACCATGCCCTTAGCATCTCCTCCAGCAAGGACAGTCATTATGTTTTCATCATCTCTTCTCTATTACACAAAAATGAAAACAACGACCGTGTCCCATCTGGGTAGGACCTAAAAGACTTATTTAAACAAATTTGACTCCAAGGAAGACCACCATCTACAAATATTAGAGACATTTCACATGTGTGCAAAAAAGCACACCAAAATAAGTCCCTAACACAAAGAATTGGGGATGGACTCCATCCTCTTAAGTAACTTATCTGAGGTAGAAATTTGGTCCCAAGTGTATGATTTTATTGAAGAGGGTATGTTCTATGCTTATGCCTAGATCAACTACCTCCTACTTATCCTACCCCATGTTAAAAACCAATCTAACAAAACATAATGCATGGCCCCTCCCAAAGAACTCAAAATCTTCCTAAGTGAAGAGCAACCTTCCATGAGTATTTAAACATTATACTGCTTTTTCTTTAAAAAGCATTAAAGCTGGAATACAAAAATAGAGCCTCTTTTGTTTTTTAAAAAAACACAGAACAATTATAAACAACTAAATCAAGTTTTGTTCCCCCTCTTCTTCCAATCCTCTTTTATAGTCATCGTCATAGGTAAGTCTCTAGTTATTGTCTATCAACTGAGTCTCTGGACAATGTCCTCCAGCAAAGGAAAGTGGTCATAAGCGGTAGAAGGTGAGGCAGGTCAGGGCGATGGCTTTGGGCTGGAGTTTCGAGTCCTTTTGCTCCTTCGATTGAAAGGATAATTAAGAAATTCGAAGCGTCTATGAGGCTCTGTTGTTTGGTGGCCTTTGGGCAGCCGCTTCATGAAGTGCACCTCACGCTGATGCTGACGAGTCTTGGAGCCTTTGCGGGGACGCCCCTTCCGGGTGAAGGCCATGTACCATCCTTCGTATTTTGCATTTTGTAATGCTGTGTAGTTGTTCTCCAGCACAATCTCAGTGAAGACACAATCCTTGCCTTTGCCATTGCTCTGCAAGTGGAAAAGAATGAATAATTTGACATCTTTTGTCTTACCCACCTCACCTGTCCTTAAAGCAGTGGTTCTCAACTTTTTTAATGCCGCGACCCCCAACCAGTTGTAAGTCAAGGACTAAACCGGTCGTAAGTCGAGGACTACCCAACCGATCGTAAGTCGAGGACTTTCCCTGCCCGGGAGTGCCGCGCATGCGTGGTGCCGCCCCCTGTGCCGGCCGAGGCGTAGCTGGCAAGTGGCAGAGACGGAGCAGGCCAACCACCGGCTGGGCCACCAGCTGGCCCAGCCCAAGGCAGGTAAGGCACCCGCCGGAAGAGGGGGAAAAAATGGCAGACAGCCTTGCTTGGTGACCCCCGTGAAATGGTCGATCGACCCCAAATGGGGTCGCGACCCATAGGTTGAGAACCGCTGCCTTAAAGCCTCTTTGGGCAGGTATCAGCCCCACACTTATAATAAGCCTTTTCCAATAAAACATTTTAGGTATCTCCATTTATATCCAAGCTTCTATGTTCCATTATGCCAAGCAGCTTTACTGAAGCAAAGGCCACAATGATTGTGATATGGTATAAGTTCATGACTAAAGAAAAAACTTTTCTCCATAAATTCAGTGTCCATTGTAAATAGCAGTGGCTGATACAGTAACTAAGTTTGTAGGAATTATATACTCATATATTCACTTTTATGATTACTTGTTCCTTACTATCCTATTGACTATCCTTTTTTCCCTACAACTACAATTAGTTTTCTTTTATTATTATCCAAAGCTCCAATTTAAGTAGAAAGAGACAAACATTTTTACTTACTGTTGCTCAACAAAATCACTGTGTATAATCAGAATAGCAACAGTTCTATAAGTAGTGAAAATATCTGTTTATACTTCAACCCCCATGTGTGCAGGTAAATGCTGTAAGAATTGGATGCCATTAAAATCTGCAAAGCTCTATATCTGTGTACTACATGTCTTTTCAAACTTTTTCTCCTACTTTGTACAAAAACTAGGATTGAAATTTAGAGTCTGTTAACAATAAGACTATTAATTTTAATGTTGGGTGTATTCAGTAGCACAAACACCGTAATTTTCATTTAGCTCTCTATTCAACAAACACATATTTCTAGAAGTGTGAAATTAGAGAAACTGAAAGAGGCATTTGATATGACCTTGTCATGTCTATTTTTCCTCCATTTACTTCACTCTCTTACATATACATAGATGTATAAATTATAGTTTGTATATATCTTTCCTTTCATTATGTTTTAGTTAATAAAGTTGTGTCTAGATAGAGTGAATCTTTAGAATCCTGCCTTAATACTTAGATTCTAAAGTGATACAGAAGATGGCACCTCACAGAAGGTGCCAAATATCCTTAGCACTTATTACAAACATGGCAGACTTCAGTTACTGCTAATTAGTGTCACTTCATTTGAATGCAACCTAACTCATTACAGATTTAAATAGGAGTGTTTGGAAACCAAACACTAACACTTTACACCAACTGGCAAATCCAGAGGGGGCCCAAAAGGGATCACTCTGATTGTGAATTTCTTGTCCTCTGCATATAATAAATTTTCTGCCAAAAAGAAACATCTAGAGCTGGTATAATTACTATAGGATTTAGATAAAATATTCTCCTTAAAATATCAAAGAATAATTGCCAGTAGAAGAATGCAGATTTATTCAGAAGACAGAATACACCACAGCATATCCATAGTAGATTGAGTGATGTTGTGGTGCCTGATCAACCGAGGTAGTTGGGCTCCTAGATGGACATCTCAATACGAGATCAACAAGATTGATCAATTCTGCATTCCTGTGCTGCTGGTCCTTTCTAACCATAACCACATGCAAAGCAAAAGTGAGACAATGAAAAGAGAACCAAGTTGAAAAGTCAGTAAAAATCATCATGGAAGACCATATATCTATTTATCTAAATCTGGGCTCATAATTTGAATGGAAAGTTGAAGGACGTTGGAAGCTTTGCTAAGAAATCAAAGCATCTCGAAGTCTAACAATATCTTTTTTAAATAAAGGGTCTCATATTCTAGTGTAGGACCGTTTCAATAGGAACATGACAAGCAATTTTATACCAGATATGATCCTAATCCTTCTACCTCAATACTGTCTTTGCTTATTGGTAATGTTAGCCACTTTTAGGCTAAAGCCTTATTTGGTTGACTAGAGATTAAACATGGGATCTTGTGTTTCCAAACACGGCACCACTGTTGAGCTACATCTCATCCCTACAAGGAATAGGAAATATTTTGGAATGTTTTACTAAGAGTAGCAGTGGAATCTATGGGGAAGGTCCTTTGCAATGGAGATGGGAAGAAATGAATCTAAATGACAAGACTTAGGAATGCACTTCATTTTTATACTGCTGAGCCTTTTTCATCAGCTAATGTAATACAACTTTTGCAGCATTTTTCCTGATCTCCTGCAACTATATCATGTTATCCAAGCCTAGCTTGCAACCTACCTCAAGGTTCTGTTCCAAGAACCTCGGATGTCTTTAATAAAAAATACATAGAACCAAAGACTGCTCTAAGAGAGAGAGAGAGAGCGAGCATGAAAGAGAAAGGAAAATGCACAAAACCAAAGGCAACAACTTTATTTCAGGCTGAATGTGCAGATACAGTGTGTAAACATCTCTTCAGGTAGTCCTTTCCCAAGGATGCTAATTGGGACCAGAAACTCTATTCTCAAACAACATAGTCGTAAGTTAAAAAAATCACCTGACTGCACCATTTAGCATTGGCAGTTCCCGCAGGCCCACAATGGCCATTGTTAGGCAAGGATCTCACAGGACCACAACTTGCGACTTCCTACTAGCTTCACCATTGACTTTGCTAATCAGAATCTCCCATTCAACTATCAACAGGTCTGACCCTGATTACTTTTTTTAGATTGCATTTCCATTAAAAAAAAATAATAAGCTACAACAATACTATTCTATTCTATAGATTTCCTATACCACTTCCTGCTTTTGAGTAAGACATGCATGTTAGGGATTACTTTGCAATGTTGCCATATGTCACAATTAGGGAAGAAATTAAAGTAAGAATTTACCAGAATTTTCATTTTTCAATCAAAATTCCGAGAAAATGAAAGCAACTGGTTCAGTCTTTCTTAATGCAAAAAATAATGAAGTAGGAATTTTAGATTTTTATTCAACTGCTTAAAAGTTGAGAAAGTGCAACAGGAGATCTCTGATCAAAAAGTCCTCTGGAGGGGGTAGGAGGGAGTAAAAGGGGGACAGGCAGATCCCCAATGCCAGAGAAAGAAATTTAAGTTTTCTTTATGTAATCTATCAGACTGAATTCTCCCACCTACAACATATCTGAATTAGGAAAGCAGAAACAAGGGAAAATATTAAACCTCCCTAGAATATCTCTCCAGGACTGGACTAGAATCTTTATAGAGGCTGTATATGCAGTTAATTTCATCCATGGAAAACCTTTTCATAGTTTTCATGAGAAGAAAGAAAAATCTTGTTGTTGTTTTTTAATTTATTGCTACTTTGTTTTTATACCTAAGAGAGAAGTTTGTGGATTTTCTGCCTCAAGTGCCAACTAACCTGGCCGGGGTTCATCCCCCCCTCCCATGTTCTCTGGAGAAAGACTGCATTTGTTCTTCTACTTCAGGCAGTAAAATAGCTTGGTCTAGCCCTCGGGGCCCAGGCCTTCCTCAATCTTTTTTTGATGGCTGCATGGTCATGCCCAGTGTCGTCTTTAATCCCCAAGGATCAGGATGCTGATGTTGTGTCTAACTCCTCAGGATTTAATTGGAAGGAACTGGCCCTGCCATCAAGCAGGCTGAACTAATCGCCTCAGGCAGCCTAGACTGTAAACCCTGAAGACGAGATCTCGGTGTGCCACTCAGCTTGCCCCTAACTAGACTGCTGTTGACATCTTTTGTAGATTCTCTTCTTAAATATATTTAAGTTATTTTGATTGTTCTGAACTTTTTAATTTAATGTTTTCATAACATTTTAAGATCTGTCTTCAAAAGTACTTTTGTGTTAATTGTATTTCTATGGAGCATTAGTGGAATAAACAGCATGCAAATACTTCAAATAAATATAGAAAAAGGGGAGAATTAAAAAACATAATGCTTCATAATACTGTGATTTAAGGTGGCCTCCAACATAATAGTTTCCAGGGTGGGTAAAGGGGCTCTGAGGCCAACTCTAAGTTTCTTATTAGTACATTCTGCAAATCACTATTTTTATAGCACCACACATGATTTTTTTTTACAGAGAAAGATAAGCCACAGTTTTTGAGGTCTTCTTACAAAAGACCTTTGAGTTATAGAATTTTCATGCAATTTGTGTAAAAATTAGAAGAAGTGTCAAAAAGTGGAGCTTTAAATATGTTGGCTCAAAAATATGTTTCACAAATCCAATGATATTTCATTTGGATTTCTACGAGGCTCAAAGTCACAAACTTTGTCTGGAATACAAACGCTTTTGGTCTCCAGCAAGCCTGCATAGACGTAAGGTTAAAATGGTTGATCTTTTAAAATGAATAGTCTGTGGCTGAAAAAAAATATCCAGAAATATCATACTTACAATAGACCTCATCATGCAATAAGATGGCTGCATGGTCATGCCCATCCATTTATATTTTACACTGCATCTAAAACTGATGTACAATTTTCTTAATTGTTTATGACCATAAAATCAATGATATAGTAACCAGAAGCAAAAGGGAAAACAAAATGCTAAACAATTATTGGGATTATAGAAATAAGTGTTTGCGATTGATCACATCTGCCATGCTAACATTTTGTAAATAGTGAAGTTTATACTCCAAGTATATCCCAATACTATTTAGTTAGGAAATCCATTACACATTTTCATCTATCCAAATATTCCTCCAATCCAAAAAAGTACTGATTTAAACCTCTTCTCTTTTCTCCACCTTCTAAAAATGTGTTTAAATGATTGCTTTAAATACTGGATTTTTGAGGTTAAGGACAAACTTGCTGCATGAAGTTTTCCCAAAACAAATGAAAGTATACAAATGAGCAACTTACTAGCTTCAATCACATACCCTCCTGTTTGCATAAGGCTATTGTTCACTGCCACATCAAAAGCCAATTTAGCCATATTCTTACAATCTTCCCAAAAGTTTGTTGTCTGTCTTCTTACCTTGCCAATCAGCTTTCCTTTTTTGTTCATGCAAATATAGAAGCCTGTCTCTGCTCCCTTGATTCTTACTCTGCTCCCAAAAGTATCAGTCTCCACAATGAGCTTAGCTGGAAAGAATAAGGCAACAGAAATCAAGTTATAAGATCAACATCCTATAGAAGTCTGAGAGGAAAAAAAAAAGCCAAATACGATGACATTTTTCTGTTGTAGCAAGACTTATGTACAATGAAATGTAATGATAATCCATGTAGTTGGGCATTCTATACAATCACAATAGAGCCAAAAGGGGCCCGGGACTGTGCTGTTCTTGTGATAAGGAATAAAACTCTGGAGTATGGATGTAAAATCACTTACGGTACATTTATTTTTTGATACACAGAGCAATGTGCCCGCTTAAACTCCATCCACTCCCAAATCTCATTTAAGAGTCTCCATTTGAAGCAAAGAAAAAAGGAATATGTTTTACAGGGAACCAGGAGCTGCATTGTACATTACTTTTTCCCTATGGTGTGAGAATCAATGGAACAATAACATCAATAGCACAAATATATTTTTCCACTTGTCTTTGAAAGACTGGGTAATTTTATTTATCTATTAAGAATTATGTGATAATAACTTGGTTAATTTTTAAGGCATCACAAGTTTATTCTTTGTATTGGCTCCTGTTGTCTATACCCAGCAACAACAACAAAATCATTTCAATATTGTAATAGTATCCTTTGGTCCAAAAGATAGAATAAAGAAAGCAAAAAATGTGATTATTCTAAATTTCCTATATCTTTTTAAACTTAGAACTCTTAGAATTTAACTAACCAGAGGAGCAAGCAGAGGTGGGGGGAGTAATCTATGATAGACAGTCTTTCACGACTGCTGAGCTGAAATACTCTTTACCCATCCTTCACTAGGCAAAAAAACCTACACCAGCATGAAATTGACTGTCCCCATAGCAGATCCCTATTCTGCATTAACTGTCTGTTTCAAGTTACTGCAGTCATCTGACTACTTTCCAAGGTAACAGTAACACAATCTTACAGATTTTATATACCCTGATACTGACCTCAGACAGTGTTGAAATAAAGAAAAAATTGCATGTTAATATGGTACATCTAAGAAGAGATTAAGCCTGTCTATCTCATAATCAAGAGACAGATGAAGGCAACATCATGAGAACACAAAAAAAAAAAGAAAATATTGCCAGCACATGCTTGTGCCATGATCAAGGCAAATAATTAAAACCCTATGCACAAAACATGGAGAAGAAAATCAGAAGTTAATACAAAATCTAGGTCAGCAATAAATACAAAAATAATGATATTTTCTAAAGATAGCAATATGGTCTGTGCAACAAAGAGAATTTAGAATTTCTTCCTTAATTATCTTGCCTTCATTGCATCTCTGTTCTGTCTAGAGTCTAGACCATGAAGAACCAGAAGGCAGTTTAAGACCCTTCTCCACCTTCTTCCCTCTTTGTATGGTTGCTGATTTTGCAGAGAAAAGCTGACCCCTTAAAGCATTTCTCCTTTGTGAGAGGGTATATTGATTTAATCTCAGTTTTTTAATGGGCATTGATTGACTTATGGAGCTGCTATGCAAATTACAGATCAATAGCTTGTCCTTTCTTCTTGCTTTTGCATAAACCCCAAGATCTGGAGCCAATTGTCCTCCAAGAACTATCTCGGCAATCCAACTCTGCCATAATATTGTTTCTGAAAGAAATAAAGGATTCTGTGTGGAACTTTTGTTTAGGGTTCAGGGTGCCCAAAATTTCTATGAAGAATTGGACTTCATGCTTGCCATTTCTGATCATAAAATGATGATATAACTCTAAACTGGATCCTACTCTTCTTTTTACTGATAACACTTGAGACTTTGCGACAAAGCTTTTGCTGACAAAGGGCAAATTCTGAGACTTTAAAATAATATTCACACCAATGATTGGAATCCATCATATCTTGTACCCAGTAAAACAACTCTTCTTCTGTGGTCCATATCTTTCTCTTACTCTCCCCCATCGCATTCTATCAAGGACCTGTTTTTAATATGAAAGACAACCCGTTGGGTCATGGTTTCAGAGATATATCCTCATCTTAACAGAGAAACAGAATGACCAAGAGTGGGCAAAACAGCAGTAGGAACAGAAGTGATTTCCCATTACCTGCCTCTTGGGAACTTCCTCTTGGGAATCTGACAGGGAGCATCAGAAATCCTTCCCCTTTCCTTCTTTTCCCTTTTCAGCAGGCAGGTAACTGGCTGCTGCTGGGTGGGGAAAGAGAGGGGATAACTAGAACTGAAAGAAGTTGCAATCCAAATATCTGGAGAGCATAATGTTGCCTATCTCCTATCAAAAAGAACCTAGAATGCTGCTTCAATGAAACAATTTTTGTGCATCACCTTTGATCCTGAATTTGCACCCATTAATGCAAATCCTACTTCACTGAGGCTGGGCTAATCACATTAGGGCAAATATAAACACAAACATGCTCCGTCAACCAGGTGAGTGGTTTTATGGCACTTCAGCCTTTGCAGAAAAGTTATCTGCAAAGTCCTCTCAAAAGCAGTAATACACTATTCACCTGTAATGAATTTTAGGGAAAGAGAGGAATAGCATTGCAATGAAGATAAGCCACAATGCTTTCCATAATATTCCTTGTTGTCCCTCTCATCTTTTTTGTGTTTTACCTTTTAGACTGGATGTCAAAGCGCTACTGTGAAAAAAAGAGAAGCATTCAGATTATACAAAGGCAGAACAGCTGGAATATACCAGCTCAGTGTAAAGTTTGGAGAGGCTCACTATTTTACCCCAAACACTACATTCGGCTAAGGTCTTCAATAAGAAAGAATATTACCATCAGTGGCACAAGAATAGAAGTACACATTAAGGGCAAACACATGAGCATGACAGAAACTGCACAAATTGTTTAACCCTGGTTTATTAATTCTGCTAATGATCTTTCTCTCACTTCCACCTTTTTAACTCATCATTTATTTAATCAGTTTTCAATACAAAAATTAATTGTTTAAAGGAAAGAATAAAGTTATTAGAAGTGCACTGCAAAAATATAGTAATCACTGAAAGATTAAAAACAAAAAGAAACTTGGCTGACATGTCAGCATCATCCACAATTTTGCAGTTCTGGCAGCCATTGGGAAGAACTTATGAGTCCTGGAGGATTAATCTCTGCTTCTCTCTAATACTCTTGCATTTACGTTGCTCTTGTTAACATAGGTTGAGTCATCCATGGCCATACTGTCTCACTCACCATCATGATGCTTAGAGACAGTGGGAGGAACTATTCTTTTTTTAACCAATCATTATACTAGATAGCCACATTTTCTAATCACAATTGTTCTGCTTACAGAAGAAAAAGTCTTGGCCCAACTAGATACATTTGGACCATAGCTCCCAGAATTCCCAGCCAGTATAGGTAACTTCTAGGAATCTTGAGTGTCTAAGGAATGCTAGTTTGCAAGGGATAACTTGTTTTCCTAGCAACAATAAACTACATCAATTTGATTATCACATCAATTATCCTATCAATTCTGAAGATCTGATATGCTTGCACTTGCTGCAAAGGGAAAGATCCTTTTGCAACAAGAAAAATGCATATTTGATACATAATCAAGGGAAGGCTTTTTTTTTTTAAGAAAACTGTGTCAGGCTTAGCCTAACAAAATGCCTTTTCCATAAGCAGCAAACATTTCTACATGAGTTAGTTAAATCTTTCAATCTCTTTTTAAAAATAATTTCTGCCCTGCTTTCTTGAACCTATGACTTGCAACAAACTAAGTGCAAACCATTTCCTTTTCTCTTTTCTTAGGAAGGAGAAAGAGAGAGATGGCGTGGGATTATCATTTTAGTGCCCAGGCTAATATGTCAATACTGGAACAATTTCTATAACTTTTATGTTTAGGAAAACTCAATATGTTCATCAAGTCTTGAGCTTTAATTCTCTTTATTCATCTTGCAACTTGCAATGCAACAACTTTTTTTGGGGGGGGGGTTATTTACTGCATCAGTTGCTCCAAATTCCCAAATTCCACATACAAGGCCCACAATATGATGCTCAGAAACTAACCCTCTACAGGGCTATATAAATAAACTAATGGAAGCCAAGACACTGCTATCATCAAGACAAGGCTGGTACAATAACTTCAGAAGTATCCTGAATTAATGGGAGCTTGCTATTAACAGAAGCTGATTCCAATCCTAAAATAATAAGACATAAAAAAGTTATTATTATATTATTTATTACTTCTGAAAAATTCCCTAAAAGACACAACTGAAAACAAATGCAACAATTATCATTCATTTCTAACACTACTTCCTCTCCTAGTGATTCAAAGTCAGATTGCAGATTGCTATATAAGACAGAAGTACACCAAGCTTTAAGATCCATAGGCTTCACTCCTAATTAGAAAACTTTTTGGGATACGTTATTTCACAGGTTTCTATAATTCATCCCAAATCTGCCCCATTTTTACGCCATGGAGATAGACAACATATGACTTACATGTAGCTCCTTTTTACTGAACTCTTGGACTCCCCCCCCCACAGTTCCAATGCCAATGTTCACCTGAGAAATGCCACATAGCAGGCCAAGTAAACTGATTGGTTTATCAAGTCCAACTTGATGAGATAATGTTTTGGTTTTTTTAATGTTTTACTTCAGAAAGTACAGGCTCTCCAAAATGAGATGAATTCTATTCTCCTCTGGCACAATCCATGCATTGTCATTATGGCCATATCCTGTGACTCTCAATAGCCAAAGTGAAAAAGTGACTCCAGTCACAAAGTAGAACATGTCTTTTATAGAGCAAAGCTTGGAGGGCAGGACTGAACTTTCTCCAGATCCCCATTAGGAACTTGCAACATCTTCTAGAGACATCCAACTATTGTGAAGTCACTAAAGAGATAATGAGGTGACTGGGTGGTGCTAGATCAGGGGTCCTCAACCTTGGCAACTTTAAGAGTTGTGGACTTCAACTCCCAGAATTCCTCAGCCAGCAAAGCTAGATGATGCTTCAAGTCACCAGTGTGAAAATATTTTAAATATAGGCATGTCTCTTTTTGAGATGAGAACTCTATTCTGGGAATGACAGTGGCTACTATAAGGTCTTATTACTTTGTGCAAGGAGCAGTTTTTCAATAAGATTAAAAGAATATTGATGGTTTCTTCCCATCAATGATTTCCTCCAAAACATTCCCAATACCTCTATTAAAATCTTAAACAGTCTTTTCACCACTGGGATGGGGAACAAAACTGATCAGGTAGGGAATTCCTTTAAGGTTCCAAACAACCTATGGTCCTGATGGTCTTACCTTTCCCTATCCAACTGATCTATATGCTTTCCTGCAGAAACGTAGTTTGTTCTATAATAAAAATAGATTATTCTACTCTTAGTCTAATTAAAGCATTGCCACAGTTGCTGATGGGTTAGATCAAGTCTGTCTAGAACAGAACTCCATTTCCCATAATGTTAAAACAAGTCTAATAATGTAATATTTAATAATGCAGAAACAGCAAACTTGAAATTTCTCAACATTTTTTTCCTTTAGAAGAGTCTTCTGTTTTTCTACTTCATTGCCCAGATCCTTGAGAACTTTTTTCAAAATAAATTGTATTTTCTGAAGTAATATTCTTATTGGAAATGGACACTACCAGTAGAAACATGCAGAGAATTTTCTGCATGGCACCAAGTCAGCCACTGAAATGGACAGCCAATTTTTCCATAAACCTAGTGAATCTAACCTGATGTCATCACCTCACTCTCATCATCTCTTTCTGCCTCTCTTAACTCTTTCTGTTTGAAACTGCGTAAGACCAGTTCTTTTCCCTGGGTGAATGTTGAGCTGTATATGGATTACAATACTGTGGCCTTCTCCAAACTGGCTTTGGACTTCACCAACTACAAACCCCAGGTTGAAAACTGCTAAATTCCAGCATCACATCACTTCTTCTTTTAACCTATTATGAGCCCTTTAACTTTATTGCTTTTTTGGTCTATAAAATATTAACATCTGTAACCTCCTCCTTGCCCAAGGACAATTGGACCCCTGACTCCTTTTCATTGAGCTGCATAGACAAGGTTCCCTTATTTATCTGTCTTTGGGGGACACAAGTAAGGGAGGTCGATCAAGAGAGCAGTTAACATTTAAAGAGCATCAGTTTTCATGCTCTTCCTCTGCTGACTGGTGGGGAGGCATAGAAAAGCAGCCCCAAACACAGGCAGAACACCACATGCTTTTTTCCTCTTCTACCTTTTCAAAGGCCCTTTTCTGATTTATTGCCTGTTGGTCAGCTTTACCACACGAGCCTCTTCAGGGACTCACCCTCTAACGCTGAATTGCTGCTGCCTTGACAGACTCAATTGGTTTGAAATTGCTTTGGCACAGAGATACAGACTGAAAGCAGAGAAGAAATTGTCAGAGAGAAAAACAATAACCTGCCCACAAGAAGGCAAACTAGCAAAATGCCCATTCCAATCCTAAAATTATAAGACATACAAAAGTTATTATTATGTTATTACTTCTGAAAAATTCCCTAAAAGACACAACTGAAAACAAATGCAACAATTATCATTCATTTCTAACACTACTTCCTCTCATAGTGATTCAAAGTCAGATTACAGATTGCTATATAAGGCAGAAGTACGCCAAGCTTTAAGATCCATAGGCTTCACTCCTAATTAGAAAACTGAGTCAGATATTGACAGTCAAGACAGATAACTAAGAAAAATGGACCTGACCTGAAATCAGCTATTAAAATGTCACAACAGAGAAAATGGCTATTGGTGGAAATAAATCACTTTTTTTGAAAGAAAGAAAGAAAGAAAGAAAGAAAGAAAGAAAGAAAGAAAGAAAGAAAGAAAGAGAAAGAAAGAAGGAAAGAAAGACAATAACTAAAAAGCAAAGCAAAACAACTTGAAGTATAACATAAGATGTGAAGGGTGTGAAAAGTTGATTTTGTTAGTGATGGGGTGAAAGCTTAACAGTTCCAACTCTATTCTTTCCCTTCAGTGACAGATTTATCCCAGTAAAAATTATGTTTCATGCTCAAACTTTGAAAGGAAAGTGAGCTACGTAGATGCAGAAAAAATGCAGCGAGGCACACTTGATCCCCTAACTGGATGTGAAGAGGAGAAAGTATTCAGGAAATGTTTAAAAAGGTGAAAGTAAGAAGACTTTTAATAGCTCTTCCAGACATGGGGGTCTCTCCAGAGATTCATATAGAACAATCCTGAACCTCTATTTTAACATTTACAGACTTGCAATTCTCCTAAAACCTTACATCTGAAAAACTGCTTGTGTTCTCTTTCTTTTTAGATCACTGCTGAGTTTGCTTCTTACGCTTCAAATGCTTAACCATTTTTAATAGAAATATTTTCTTTTGCAAATCATCCATTCCTGTGTGTTGTAATGCTGTTATGTAAACATTAAGTAACTTTTTAGAGAATGATATATTTAAGGAAGGGATGCAGTTTTTTCCTTTATTTAAAAGAAAACTATGTTGTATATTTCAGTTATGACTGGGACAGTTTTCTTGAAAGCTAAGATGCATACTGTAATACACATGCAAACTCTTCCCTCACTATCAGTGCCTGCTAAAAATGTTAATAAAATCTTCAGCCAGCTTAAATATAAGCAAGCCTGCATGATTTTTAGATAATAGTTTGATGTGAGAAGGGCGAATGTGGCTAATGTGAGAGGTCAATAATTGTAGTCATGATACATAAATTGTAGCTATATGGAGATTCAATACTAGGATGTACATTATTGACCACAAATTGAAGACAATGCAATTATGGAGCATCTCATTTAATATTATACAGTGTTTCATAAGCATAATTAAAGTTAGAAAGGAAAACATGGACTTATGATTTGTTGCAGTGTATTTTTGATGAACTGAATATAAACTGATCATTTGTAAAACTAAGTCTCACTTAAATCTTTACAGCCAGTCTTCTATTCTCGCATCTTTTTCTCTTTGGGAAAGATATTTTGTGCATCCTAAAAGCTTATTTTCCCAGAGAAGCCTTCCCTAGCTGAAGGCAAGTTTTGCCTGTGATTCTAGAAAACCTGGGGTTAATATCACAACATGCTTCCAGTTTCCCTATTTCCGCTGCACTGTTAGGCTGGAACATACTGCAAGAAGATGCCTATTCTCCCACAGTCCTGTGATTTTAATTCTTAAAATCTTAAAATCTTAAACTCATCCCACCATTTCCGTGGTCAGTGACCAGGTGTAAAATCCAGCCCAATCTCCTCCACAGAAGCTCTGACTCAATCCGCAAAGGGAAAGCATTATACTGTTATTACAAATATTGATCCTCACATTCTTCCATCAGAAGCTTTCTGCATTCCAAATGCTTGTAATGATTTCTGGCAAACAAAGGGGATGGAAATCATCAATTACTGGGCTGCATGCATTGCCTTCTCCACCCCCACTCTCCCAGTGCTCCTGCCCATACATGCAGACTTACCATGAGCATCTCCATCTTCCGCCATAGCATTGATTTTCTTGTTGTCCAGGATTTGAACATGCTTCCCGCTGGTTCGACTGTATAGCTGATAGGTCCGGACGAGTCTCCGGCTTAGTTGGTCGGTCACCAGGCTCTGCTCCCTCACATGCTGTGTAAAATTAGGTGGGGACTGAACAGTTACCTTTAGGAAATTAAAAAATATACAACACACCATTATAATCTCTACTCCTCTGAGAAAGGCTATCTTGGTGTGCTCCTGGTGTATCTGGTGAGGGCACCAAGTTGGTGCCGTATAGAATCGAGACTCTTATGTATTGATATAGTAAAGACCAGGATTCTAGCAGTGACTGAAAAGTTACTGGGCTGCCCAGGAGTTTATCACTGGAAAACAAGCATGCAAGACAGGAAATAAAGACAAGCCTGGACCAGAACCAAGTACTAACGTGGCTCTCTTTTGTTTTCAAAGAGATGTGTCTAGACTAATGCAGATTTAAACTAGGTTCTCAATCCTGTTTGTGACACTTTAAATCTAGGAAAACTCAACAAGGCAAACAAAAATAAAAATGAATGTACCCCATCATTCATAACTATATCATCAAGGCACATTACATCCTTAACTGGCTTAAATACAATCATGTGGAATTCAATGCATCCTATTTGCCTGGAAATCAGGCTTTCAATTCCTGGATTTGTTTCTATTGCTTTGGTATTGGCTTTCCAACTATTTCAATTGGTCCATCCAAGAGTTTTGTCCCGCAGGGCTCAGAGTGCCTCTGTGCCCTGGACTAGAGTGATCGGTAGATGGGGGTGGGGATGAGGATAGCTATATTTTATCCCCTTAAACAGGGATTGGTTGTGTCAGCAGCCCAGGCAGTTCAGAATTGTCTCTCACTAATATTTATGAGGCCCTTCCATAGAGAGGCTTGCCGTGCTTTTCCCACCCACCCACCCCGCATTCAAAGTTTTCGTGAGCTGAAGGTTCGGCAACAGTAGGGCAATCTGAGCTCCGGCCGCAACCATGCAGTGGCTGTGGGGGGGGGGGCTGTGTCTGTTTCCCCTCCTCTCTCAGGCTGCTCTTCTTCCACCCCCAACGTGCTTCCAATTCCTCTTTTAAGTCTGAAGGGTTTTAGTTTGCCCCTGACATTTATAAAGACGTATTCTGAGCAAATGTTGAGGAGATTTGTTCCTTTCAACTTCATGGGGTGGCAGTGCATGAAAAAAGCCTCCCTCCTCACTGCCTCCCCACCTCCCACCCCGCCCATCTTCAGCTCCATATCAACTACTAAAGTTGTCCAAAAGATACAGAGAAGCAACTCCTTCCTGAAAGATGGACTTTATAGAAGTCTCCCCTTGATCATGTATCTCTTATCCTTTTTGTGTGTGGTGTGTGTATGCATGCATGTGTACACACGCACACACAGAGGGATGCATGGGTTTCCTATTGGCATTTCTTTCCATAACATCTCTGGATTGCTCTGCCTGCTCTAATGAGTAGACCATGTGGCCAGCCATAATACTCTTTGATTTCCATCTCATATTCCCAAATATTACAACACCGTGAGCCTACACTCCCTTTACATTCAGGTCCACCGAATTCAATTTGTTTACTCAGCTTTATAGAATTAAGCGACCATTCCAAATTTAATTCAGAATCCTACACCTGTTCTCTTGCATGGGGAATGTTTCTGCAAGCATTTGGCCTTAACTCTCTGGATTTGCAATCAATACTGCACCAAAAGGGTTATAAATTCCACAGTATCAGACTGTGTTGCTCCATATGTTAATGAGGTTTCTAATTTCTAGGAAGCAAGAGTGTTAGTAAGGTCTTTCCTATAATTAAGGTATGTTTCTTAAGTATAATTTTTAAACATCATAATAATGGAAGGAATGTGCTCTTATTTAATTCTGGAAATTGGATGGAAAAAAACAGTTTACTAAGATTTAAATAGATCATCACCAATTTCCCACCGGGGTTCTTCAACACTGCAATTGGGGAGCTCAGCGTATATCTATTCTTACTTTAAGTCAATGCTCGTTCCCACACTTTTTGCATTTTATCCTCTACTCCCCGCACTGGGTTAGTCTCTTAATCATAGGGATTCCTTTTATTACATCACTTTTTTTAAAAAAAAGGGGGGGGGAGTAAAGAGATTTTTTTTTGTCTCTATAATAAAAACCATCGCAGCTATTTAGAAAGGATTAAAACAATTCCTTACCTGTGCCTGCAAGCAGAAAGCAAACAAGTGCAGTAGCCTAGAATAATGGAAAAGGGGGAGTGGAGGGGAAAACAAAGTAGACGGTGAGATGAATTTTGCCACTGAAATGGAGCAGAAATAAAGATGGAAAATCGAGGCGACTATTTCGGGGAAGGGAAGGGAAGTCGAAATCGGTCCATAAGAGCGGCCAGACTCAATACTTACAAATAGCTGAACACGGAAGAGAAGAGATTCATCCTGCGAGATTTTTTACGCGGGGACTCGATTGGCTCGAGGCGCAGAAGAAGCGGGCTCCGCGGGCCCGAGTTTTCTCGGTTGTCTTCGGCTCCTGTGAACCGGCGGGTCCGGAGCAGGGGTCGGTGGGGGAGGCTCTCGCTTTCTCTCCGCGGGCGTCGTTTTTCCTTCGCCGGGCGGTGCTCGGCCCGCGGGGCGGCTCAAGCTCCCGGTCAGGGCGAGGGACTCCCTGGGCGCTCCCAGCCCATCCCTCGAGAGCGTCCCGCAGCCGAGCGGCACCGAATCGCCCGAGGTTGCGGCGCTGGCTGTCAGAAGGCTCCGGGGCCGAGCGGGGAGGGCAGGCTCCGCTGACAGCGCCGCGCCAGGGGCAGGGAGAGCCCGGTGTTTCGAGGCTGGCGGCTGCGGAGCTCGGAACGGGAGGCAGGCGGCTCGGCCGGGTGGGTGTGCGCTCCACTCTCGGAGCGCCCGAGGGGCAGTACGCACCAGTCCGGCCCTGGTCCCTCCTCTTGTGCGCTGCTCGCCAATGTGCCAGCCCCTTCTCATCTGTCCGGGGATGTCCCTAGACCCGCGTCCTACCCACCTTCCCCCCTCCCCCCCAACAAACATAGACCGTCCCCCATCCACCCCTCGACGGGACCAGCCAGCAGCGCTTGAAAGCATCCCGCTGGCCAAGATGCGCTGGCTTCCAGAGACTCTCCTTTCCTCCCCCACCCCACGCCCCCAACTTTGCTCACACACACACACACACCCAGCTTGGCCGAAGGGGAGGCTGCTTGCAAACGCCTCGCGTGTTTCCGGGGTGTGCGGGTTATTGCCTTGGTGCAGAAAGAGGCCACGGACGCGCTTCGGGGGGGTCCCCTGCTTTGCCCACGAGCAGCCTTCCTGCCTATCGGCGTAACACTTGCAGACGTGATGAAAAGGCACGGAAACAATTTGAGGGCGAAGGCCTTTTCCCAAGGATGGGGAGAAGCTGCAGGGATTTCCTGCTGAAAGTACTGGGCGCCCCACAGGTCGGCTGAATCTCGAGCGCTCCTTTCTGCCCAAAAGTTTGCACGCACGTTGCAATGCCTGACAAGTGTGACCGAGTTTCTGCTTAGCCTGACCGGTTGGAGAAGTGGGCAATAATCCAGCGGGGCTCGGGAGAGAAGATGAGTAAAGAGGGAACCAGGCCATGCAGAAATCCCCGTGAAACTACCGGGCAGCGGTCACCTGAGCGGGTAGGGAATGCCCGCTTCCCTCCGGGCTTTCGGGGTTGCGACTTCGAAGGAAGCAGCTTCGAAGAGGCTAAAGGGGAAGGGAAGGAATGCCAGAGCAAAAACTCGGATTCTTCTGATTTTCCAAAGAGCACCTCCATTTACACCCAACGCCGGCAGAGACTTTCCTCAAAGCAACAGGCTCCCTTTAGCATTAAAACGTGCATATAAAACCGGGTAGCTAAGATATATGAACATGCATGCCCACGCATTATGTATCTGATTAACCAACGGTGCTTTGTTAACAGTTAGCATGTGTGGAGCAATATCAAATACCCACAAAGACTAGTAATGGCTTCCTCACTCTTAAGACTACATAAAGGAACATAAACCCACCCATACACACACACACACACACACACACACACACACCCAGCCCTTCAGCCCTGGAACTTGATTTTAATGATGTAGTGCAGCCATAAGACACCTGAAACCATTCAGTGCTTCCAAGCCAGGACAGACCAAACAATGCCTAAGTTACAGAGGAAAAGAAGTGGGGAGGAGAATGAAGGCTGAGCTTCTGTACCAGCTTGAACCCTCCTGCATTTCAAAAATTAATCACTTTGAAGATTAAAATATAGTAAGAATGGTGAAACTGCAGCTCCTGTCCACCTTTGCTAATTGGACTGAGAAAATATAAGATGGGGAACAAGTGAAGCAAACTGAATTCCCTTGACTCAAAAGGAACTTGAAATTACCAGTAGAAAATAATTTAGTAGATAGTAGTTAGGAAAATAAAAAAGAATTGAATTCAAGGACTTCATACACTTTCTACATTCATACATAATGCTAAGCCAGGATTTAAAAAGAGATCAGAGCAAAACAAGTTCTTGAACAAGTCATAGTAGCATGGTTTACTCATAATGCTAAGCTATAGTGATTGGATTCACACATCGTACCAAGTCAAAAGCAAATAAAATGACAATATTGTTTTGTACAATGTGTGAATTGATCCAATACAAAATGACATAATTTCATTATTGCAAGATTCAGTATCTTTCAATATCCCAATTATTGTCCAAAAAGTGAAAGTCCACAGAGAAAGATGTCCTCTGAAGACCAAGTGCTGGGAACAAATGACCAGACGAGTCTATTGAAGCTGTCTGAGCCAATGGGGTAACAAATGAGCAGTTGAGGCTCTTCTTAAAGTATATGATTCAGAAGACTATTTTCATTTTCTTAAGTGATAAAGCAGAGAGAAGGGGGACTATTTTCCACCCAATATATGTCTTCTCCAACAGATGATCTCTGTCAGATATGCAGTTAGGAACTGTGGGAGTTGTAGTTCAACAAACTGAAGCTTACCAAGCTTGGTAAGATTTCATAAGGCAAGGGGGTGAGCAACTGCACTCTCAGAACTGCAAAGTATCCCTTTATGTCCAAGAAATAAACAAAAACAGTTCCCAAAAAGAAAGAAAAACACCCCAAACTTACCTGTAAATCCAGCTCCGGCTACACCTGTAATGTGGCCCTTCACAATTTGCAAATCTTACGCAACAATCCAATATTAAGCCCAGCCCTTGACCAGCCATAGGTGTCCTACTCTGTTCAAAAAGAAATACAGCAACTCCAAGTAAATTCTGAAACAGTTCAAAGGAATATGGGGAAATATTTGCATTATTGTATACTATTATATGCTATCTTTCTAAAACTATTGACTCACAATATGTGTCTCCCAGTATCGATCCAACAATATTGACTCTATCACAATAAAAATAAAGCAACCTCAAAGAGCAGAAAGATTTTCAGCGTAACTGACATAAACAAGTACATGTCAGAAAAAGCTTATTCAAATGAAAATGTATCACCACATCAAAGCTCCTACTCAGAGGAAACCCTCATTAGCTGACCCTTAAAAAGAGGAGGCTTTATGTAGGAACCCCATCAATTACGTTGGTTCCAGATTGGATGTAATGTATATCAGTGGCTTCCAACCTTTTGGGCACCAGGGACCAAATCTGTGGACAGAGGTTTTTCTGCAGACCAGAGCAGGCGGGGTTTTATGTGCTGCCTGCATCCCACGGATGGGCTTCACTTGTTTGTGTGGCCCGGTTTTTGACATGCTGTGGACCAATGCTGGTCCATAGACCGGGAGTTGGGGACCCCTGATGTAGATGCTTCCATTGCTGTTGGACAATAGCTCCGGTCAATCTGGAGCACTGGTCATGCTGACTGAAGCTGATGAGAATTGAAATCCCAAAATATCTGACTATAGGTTCCCCATCTCTTCCATTTAAAACTGAAACCGTTCATTAAGAATTACTTCCAGACACTGATGCAACCAGGAACTTATGATCTCCCTGCCTCCCCACACCCCTACCTTTACATAGCCATACGCTTATTTTGGAATATACATCATTTAATTGTGGAAAGAGAGAACATATTTTTAAAACAAAAATATTAGGATGAGCACGTGCAACTATGTACATGGTATACTTACCTATCAAAAATATAATGGAAGAAAGAGGGGACAAGGGAAAGAGCAACAGCTGCTTGGATGCAACCCAACATGTCTTTGCCAATGGACAGATCAGTCTGGACAAGTCTACCTCCTGCAATTCTCTTGGAAACCCCCCATCCACTCACCCCAGATTTGAACTTTGGTCCTGAAGCCCTACCTTAGTTAGATCACAGTGTCCAGGTTCAACAACCTGTAAGTATGAAGAAGAGACAGTTAGTTCCAAAGTGATCACAGTAAGAGTCTCACAGAGCTAGATACTAAGCTAGGGAAAGAAAAGCTTGCATTCCTTCTCTCCCTCCCCCCCCCAAAAAAAACCCCCTAGGAAAGCAACTGTGTTTTACTGAAATCTGATCTTCTTGTACCCAAACCACAGTCCTGTTAACAGAAGGCACAAGCTGGAGACTGCCTTGTGTTGGCTGCTTGGCTGCTAGAAATAAGGATATTTGTCATGGTTCAATCCTAGAGACTGTAGTAATAAAGTATGATTAATTAATATTTTTACAATCACTTTCTCGGGGGTACCAAAAAACAGATAAACTCAGCACCTGTCAAAGGACCGTTCTGTAAACAGTATCTAAGAATTCATTCACTAGATAATGGGGTAGTATGTTCAGGTATGCTGTAATTTTCCCATAATTATATAACAATTTCTTATGCAATTCCTTAATCTGAAATCAAGAACCCACAGTGTAACTTTCTGGAGCAGGTGCCTTTGGCCTCCCATTGTAATTTTGTTTCTGGCAACGCGTAGTCAAGTGCTTGGGGGGGGGGGGAATGTTCACACATTGACAATCAAATGGCTTGTCATGTTCAACACTCACAGGCGACATCAGCTGCAGTTTTAACCTATGCTGCATTGCAGGCCTCCTGTTCTAGCGGCCTCCCAGATGCTTCCTACATGTTCTATAGACCTACTGCAGATTAAGGATAGTAGGAATCAGCCTGGTCCTAGACTAGAGGAGGTGGGCTGGGTGCCCCTACCCCACTGCAGCAGTTGAAGGAAGGTGATGGACTTGAATCATTATGCACAGAGCTATGGAAATCTGGTTTTGTGGATTGAGACAGTTGATGCAAGCTACCTACAGCAAGTGACAGACATTCAAAGGATTAGAGTAAAGAACAAGAGTTTCGGGAGAGGAAAAACATGCTACTAAACAAATAAATAAGCCACCAAACCTATTATCTGTACTAAGTCTCATTATCTGCTTACCCGACTTCTCTCACTCTACTTTTAAGGCTGCCTAAGCCAGATTTTGTGATGGTGGCATAAACACCTAGAAAACCATTA